GTAGTACCTCGGTACTCGGGCTCTACGAGACCGGCGACTGCGGCTCATAAATCACGGTCCGTTTCGCAGGGTGATTAAGACTGGGTGTTTAAGACCGCTTTATGAACGGCCGCGGCGAGACGGAGCGATATCTCGTGCCGAGCGGTCGTACGTTTCGCAGCGGGCATTCCGGTGAGGCGGGGGGAGGGAGGAGGAGGCTGTTCTAGTTCGGAATAAGCGAGGGGGTGGACGATAACGAGGGTAACCACCACGAGTGGCTCCCGTTTGTCTGCCGCCAGCCCCCCCGCCTGGTCAATGCCTTCATCCACCGCGCGCCACCCCAACAGTCTCTTTGCATTATCCGGAAAGTTGCCAGTATCGGTATCGCGGTATTCCTAGCCGGTCAATCTTGCCTTGGTATAATATAGTGCAATTCTCTGCGCGCGCTGCTCGCGAATTCGGCTTCAGCGTTTGTGCGAATCGCGTGCGAGTAACGAGGGAGGGAATTTTTATCCGGGCGCATCTTTAATCCGGTCTTCTGTGTTAGTAATTAGTACTCTCGCTCCGCGATGGTGAATCAGTTTCGCATCCCATCGTAGCCTCAAGCATTTAATAGATATGCCAGATTAATTAAAAGAAACGGTTTAGCGCAATTTCAGCATTTTCTCTTAATTATAGCTGAAAGAAAATCATGAGATTTCATTTTTCTTATAGCATTTTTTTTCTTTGCTTGTCTTAATTATTGGCTATTTCAGTTTTCGAGAATTTTTACTTTTAATTTTTAATAAAATATTTTTCCATTCTTGCGTAATATATAACAAAACTAAATCACCAATATGATTTTATTTTGACCATATTTTGTGAAATAAGCCGGTACAAGCATGATCACGACGCGCCTCGTGAGGTAAACGAAAAAAAAAAAAACGTACGAACATTAATTGTCACGCGTCGTGCATGGGATGCGTTTCTCCGTTTCGGTGTGCAATACGCGCAAATATCACGATGTATTGACAAGCGGAAATGTATTGCTAATATTTGCGCTTGCCGCTGACGACGCTAACCAATCCGATACTTGTTACGCCGGATTCGAAGCGGCGTATTTAATATTGATGATTGAAAGTTCCGGATTTTACGGCGATTATGTTGTACCGGAAAACATGTATTTAACGGATATTAACAAATATTGAATTGTATTCGACGGAAAACGTATAACACGCGATATATCATGTTTTGCTAGAACTTGATATATCTTTGATGGTATAGCTTTCAGTATCAATTTTGTCTGAAGTGAAACTCGACGGAGCTTTATATGGATACGCGCAATAAGACCGACACGTTCTCAGCTTGTATCTTTTTCGCTCCGTTAAATCACGGGGATGCGGAGCGTTATATCCACGTGCATTCGCGATGCACTTGATGCAATTCGTCAGATCGATCGCCCGGTCCGTGAACCAGAAAATTATGCAGCTTCGATTTCGCGCGGCGACGCCGTCCTGACTGCGATCATTCTCCATGACTCACGGTGGAATCCGAAATGAGGATTGGACTCTTTTCAAATTGGAACTCGCACGAGTATAATATGTTTCGTTACATTCCACGCAGTCAGCGTGTAACATTTTCGTAAAATATACATATAGATCATTATACAGAAAGGAATATCTATAGTGTATACTTTTATATACACGATAGAAAATATATTTTCTCGAAAACATTCTACAAGCCGTATAGCTTTAGAAATGCAAATTTAAATCCGCCACTCCGCTACCTCCTGTTGCTATATTCTTGCTCGCTATATGTTCTGCCCTTTTCAACGGGAAAAATTCTGGATTACGCTGTAATATCGCAAGTAAATTTCTGTCGTACGCCGTATACTTACAAGACGTACATACATGTTTGCTCTGCCCCAAGTAATTTCCGCGGCGGCGGCGGTGACGCGCGCGGAATCCCCGCAGCCTCATAAGCCGCGCGAGCATTATGCCGTAACGAATACTCTCGAAGGATTCCGCGGGATAATTTCGTCCGTGTTTACCGTCCGTGATGCTCGATCTCGCGCGCGGAGGATGAGAACGCGAGCGAGCGAGCGTCGGCGTCGTTTCCCCGTGACGCTACGCCGCTGCGCCGCGCGATGCCGCGAATTCCGATCCGGAATTTCAGGGACGCCGAAGTTCGCGCGGGAATGTCTCGCGACATAATCTCGCGCCGCACGAGACGCGTATAATGTAATCTCGCGTACGTGTACGATGGGAATTCGTGCGTGGGCGATCGGATTAACGGGCGAGATGTTTTCGCTGGCTGCGCGCGTGCGCGCGCGCGCGTATATCGCGCCTCCTGATCCGCCACGCTCGACTCGGCGATGATCCGCGGAGGAAAACGTGTATCTGTGCGCTCAGGAATGTATCTCTCCTGTGCATTGTTGCGTCTCCTTTCGACGTGTACATAGATCTTCTATTATTTCGAAACACGTCATCGTTTTGTAAATAAAATCTCATATTGGAGCTCTTAATTTCTTAATTGATACATTTATTAATAAGAATTAAAATCTTTATCAAATCAAATTAATTATAATTACAGCGAGTGTTTTTTTATGACTGATAATACTGTAAAAGTGTTGAATTATGTATCTCAAGAATATTATTCTTTTCTATAAAATAATCTTTTATAAATATTTTGATTTTGAATTTAGGTTTGCTTATTGCTTTAATTTTAAAGCATTGGTTCATGTCACAGCCTTGTCATATTTTAATTTTTAAATCGCTTTCTCTCTAATTGTAACCAATAAGAACTTTTAATTTATAACGAATGAAAGCGAGAACGGATTTATTTGCGGAGTGGCCTTCAGTCTACCATAAAACCCGTCAGCTCTCACCTGCCATTTATCACCGCGATGTCGGGTGCATCGGGCGCTTATCACAGCCTTGTCGCCATGAGATCACTCGATGCATTCACACCCGCTCTAAACCCTGACGTCATGCACCGCGCCGAGAGGTGGTCGGCTCCACCGGAATGCCTCTCCTCCCATTGGATCACTTCCGGTTTTCCGTCTGTCACGCTCCATTTGCGCCTGTTCAGTGCCGCATCGCCGGTGTCCGCGACCGCTCCGTCCGCGTGTCCTCTCCGAGAATATTCGGCAGTTCCGCGTATCTGTGTCGCGTTTTTCCGTGGAAAAACGTCGTACCCGTCCATCACGAGTCCCCCGTTTTCAGTGTGTGCGTTGGAAAATGGTGCGTGATGAATTTAACCATCTTGGAATATAGCTGTGATATCAAGATGATGCGAATATCGGACGATCTTAAGAACATCTTTCCTTTCGTTTTAAAGAATGTCCGTCTAGATTTTATAAGAAAGGATTTTTAAGTATTAACGTGCAGCATGTTCGTTAGCAATAAAAATTCAGATTGCTTTTTATTCTGCAGGTTTAAAATATTTTAAGTTTAATATCCGTTTAACGTATATATATGAATATTAAAAAATTATATTTATTGAATTCTCCGATTGCTTGCAAATGAAGGTTGCGTAAAAAGACTAAATTCAATTACTTCGAATGGAAATCGATAAATTTCCAGTAAATCTGCGCCGTAATTGAACCAGCAGCTTAGCTCATTTAACTCCGTAGTCATTCAAATCGAATCGTTTCGACGGACCGATTCGCAGCTTGATTGTCCGGACGCCTTCGTTTTCGAACACCCGTTATCTCCCCGGTATCTCGTCGGCACCGCCTTCTCGTTACTCTATTCGGTTCGTGTTTCATCGGGACCTGCCTCGCGTGGGTCGGATTAATTTGCGTATATATTTCACGATAATTGTGCGCATTTGCCCGTCTGCGAGAGATCGTATTGTTCCTCGGTTGTGTTTCGCGTTCGGTATTACCCGACTCTCCCTCCCCTCCCTTCCCGGCTCCTTTGTTACCGAGACCGGACTCGAAATTTCGCGAATATTATTATATCCACGTCGTTCCGCCCGGTTTTCATGTTCGTCCACGGATATTGTATATTCAATGTCGTCGCTACGCGACAACTTCGGCGACGCCGAATCCTGCATCGCAGTGTTAACGACACGATTGTCCTATGATACTTGTGGCCCAGAATAATAAAAGGATACACTTCTACATGCATAACAAAGTTTGATTTTATGAGGCACCTATTAATATGATTTTTCAAAATCTACATTTTATAACATATTGTAATATATTTAATTTCATGATAATCTAATTGTCTTAAAAAAAGAAAGCTGATTAACGTGAACAGTAGTTAAAGTATTTTTTTTTCCTTGATTACGTCAGGCGTGAAAGTTTGCGTCAAAATGGATTTAAATAAATGAATTTAAAGAAAATTTATTTAAATGAAATCTGCAGATTTATTTGAATGAAAGAAAGATGCGTCCTGCATACGAAGTTAGGTTTCATAATACGCCAGTGCTATGCTCACATTTTGCGAAACTTAACTTTCTAAAAAGAAATTAGTTCGCGCGAGCGAATTTATGTCGATACGAAAGTCGTAAGAAATTTCGGAATTATTTAATACTCGAGATAGCAATCAATGTTTCACTATCAACCCGCGTAATACCGGTTGCAATTAATTATTTTCTGGAACAGTCGTTTTTTTCCAGTCAAAATCTTTTCTTTTTAATCTCGTGCTGCATAATCATCTTTGCTGTTGCAATCTTAGTTCACTTCCATTAGTTAAACACAGCTGCTGGTTCTTTTTTTTTTAAATCTAAAAACTCTCGCTTGAGAGGTACTAGGTAAAGCTCAGTCTCTCGACTTTTTCACCGAGAAAAGTCGTGAAAACCCTCTCTACCTTCGCGCCCGCCCTGTCCTATTTCTTACTCTGTTAACCTTTGAAGAACTCGTTGCAAGTTTCGCAATTAATTTCCCCCCCCGTCCTCCTCCGTTCCACGAACTGTCCCGAGCTCTCTCTCTCTCGCGAGGAGTAATCGAAGGCGCTGTGTGTGTGGCTTGCAGATAGCCGACATCGAGGCGGTGCCAAGGTCACGAGGGAGGAGCTGAGGTCATCGCGGCATCTATGTTGTGCGGCGAACTCCTGAACGGTGGCTTCGTCAGTGCCGGAGCGGTACCGGTGGTTCCGTATAGCCTCCCAGGACTCTGGTTACCCGGTTGCCTGCGTGCTACCAGCCCGCGCCTATTGACCTCCCCTTACCTGACCCTGCTGGCCGAGCTCCTGGCCACGGGCCGCCTCGGCTTGCGAGACGATCTCCTGGAGCTGATGGACTTGGCAAAGAGGAGCCATCAGGCTCCCGGCGGCAACGGAGCGCCCGAGCTCGACCTTGATCTCCACGCCGACGACATCGACGAGATCTTCTTGGGTAAGTGCAGTGTTCCCGTATCTCTGTTATTCTTTCACCTAAAAATATACCTACTTCAATGAGGCGACTGAACGGAAATATAACGGCCGTGTGTCCGTCGAATCGAAGCTCTGTCGTAACAGCTAACTAAATCATTCGATACGTTTCAACGTCTCGGATGTCGAAACTGTTATATACAATTGAGAGCAAAGCGAACACACCCATTACATTTTTCCCCGTGTCGAAGGTCTTGCCCGGACTAAAAATATCGGAGGCCGCGCGCATATAACGCGCGATCTTATGGCCGACGCGTGTCGTGGGTGTACACGCGGATCCGTTGTCTTTTATTTCGAAAGCGAGTACGCCGAGCGGCGTAATGGTCGGGCCGTAGTTCACATTAATGGGCAATACGCGCGGTCGTGACGACATCGTGAAAGTAGCCGTGCGTTGGCAGAAGTGAGCGGCGCGCCGCGGAGCCCGTGATTACGTCCGCTGGTAAATATGCTCCTCGGCTAAAACCCCCGGTAATATTCCCCGTTTTTCATGACGAGCGATTTGTCGCTCTGCACTACCATCCGCTCTGCTGAAAGATGTTCCAGGAAGAAAAATTAATATACTCCTCTACGATGAAATCTCTAGAGGAAATTTTAAAAGGCATCGCATCAACACTGATTAATAAGTTTTTTTTTTTTATTTGTAATACTCTTATATTCAATTATTTGCAAATCATATATATTTTTATATAATCATTTTATGTTTTTTTTTAAATTACTTGTACACGGCAATAAATTTATTGTTGCGCTAAAAATTTCCAGGAAAAGTCGCGGCAATGAGTGACATAAATAGCGAAATGATTAATAAATTTTTTTATTTGTAATATTCTTATATCAAACTTTATATATATATTTATATATATATTTATATATTTGCAAATCATTTTATATATTTTTATATAATCATTTTATATGTTTTCTTAAATGCCTTGTACACGGCAACAAATTTATAGTGCGCTAAAAATTCCCAGGAAAAATCGCGACAATGAACGAATTGCGAAATTACACAATCGACCCCCGCTGAGTTAAACTCGGCGCGTAAATTAGCGTTTGATAAACGCTCTTCAATATGAGCTCAAGTCGATGTGGCGACCCCGCCTTTCGAGTAAGTCATAAAATCATTTATTGCATCGCGATCGTTACAGAATTGCGTGAGCTAAATGTCGGAGCGGGAAATAACGTAGATTGCGAACAATTTGCGAACTCCGGCGAATAATTTCTATATCGCGCGGGAATTTAACGGCGCGGGTAACGTAAAAGATAGGAGGGTAAAAGGTAAATGAGAAATTATTACCGCGGTATTCTTTACATCTCAGAAATTCCCCGGCTCACGCAAAGCACCGCAATTGTTCTGAAAAATCCTCCGTTTTTACTCTTTCGGCGAAATTTCCCCAGGATAAGAGTATGTTTACGGATATGACATTGCGAGATTTATTTCTATCGCTCTTAAGAGAGAGAGAGAGAGAGAGAGAGAGAGAGAGAGAGAGAGAGAGAGAGAGATTCCGTGTCGGATACTTTGTTTTTTCGAGAAGGAGGGGGAGAGAATGCGAAGTCTCGGTCCTACGGAGCGTTAAGATTTTTCCAGGACGAGCCGCGCCTTACGGTCATCCTTCTTGGCCATTCTCCCGGTCAGTTCTCCTCGTTTCATCTTCCAGCTCCGGTTTACCTTCCGCCCGGGAGACCGTCGAGGATCTTAATAAATCGCTCTACGGCTCGATCCCGTTTCTTCGTAACGGTCGTCCGGAAAAATGGAGTATCGTGCCACATACTCGAGAGATCCCTTTAGAAATGGGTGGCACTCTTTTCCGCGTGGACGACGTTCTTAATCCACAGATAATTTACCTCTATCACATTGTACTTTATAACGGTTATTTTCTTCTGTGGGAATAGGATGGGAAAGCGATGTTTCCGTTGAATTTGTCCGACTTATAATATTATCGATTTTATGATGATTTTCACTAACGTATTAGATATACATACACGGAAAGAACGATTTTGCTGGATACAGATCTGAAAATAATTCTTGTTAGACCATTAAAATAATTTTGTTAGGAAGTCGAACTGATTGCTAGAATATCAAAAATGTATAGCAATTCTTGTAATTTTTGACTTTTCAACAAAATTATTTTGATGGTCTAACAAAAATTATTTTCAGATCTGTATTCAGCAAAATTTTTAAACCTAGCAAAATCGTTCTTTCCGTGTATACAGCCAATGTACTACAAAAAATTAATCATTATTAATTGACGCAGTGAATAATTAGGATTGGTAAGCGACAATATACATATATAGGAACACAGACATTTTAATTAGGTATTTTTAATTACGATGTCATTGGCGTCTCGTTGACATCAGGCGACAGTTCAATCGACAGTTCAAAAGTATATTTCAGCGGGGCCAAATGGGTGCGATCGCTTGTCGTCTGGCTGCAAAGTGGTTGAACTTGGTCGACAGCGCTTCCAGAGAGCTGCCAGATCTGGCTGAGAGTTTTGGCGGAATTCTATTGAATTCACGGATTCGCGAGCCACCCACGTCGATCACCGTTCTCCGTTACAGCTGTAAACTTTGTTGCGTGCAATATCGAGATACCGAATCCTTTTCCCTCGACTCGATAAAGGTTTCGTGAACGGATATTTAAATTACATTGCGGTAATAGTAAAGTTATTTCTTTATGCATTGAGCCTGTCTCTCTCCAGTCGCTGTTACTAAGTAATTTAATTTATTTCGACGTACGTACTGCACGAGAGAAATGCCATAGATATAAAAAAAATGGAAAAAGGGGACAGATCGACAGAAATGGATTACGCTCGAGCTCGATCGGATTAGCTACGAGCAATGTGCGCCGCGTGCGAGAAGTTACGTTGTTGTTGATCATAAAAACGGGATATTCACGAGCGTCCGGGAAACACGTGGAAAATTGCGGAAAACAATCCGCGGCTAGTGAAAATTTCGTCGTCCCGGAAAAAACTGCGCGCGCCGGATATTTCAATCAACCCCGCCGGATTGGCACGATATCGTTGCTCGAAAGTCGGTGTGATTGGATCGCTATGGCCCGACTCGATGCCTCTGCGCCGATCGATCGTTCGTCGATCATTGCGGGACGGTTGTGCGAGCGCGAGCGAAAGCGTAGAAGAGGAGAGAAAGAGAAAGAGAGAGAGAGAGAGAGAGAGAGAGAGAGAGAGAGAGCCGGGCGTTAAAAATAATCTACGCGAGACGGAATAATCATATTTCACGATTACGTCGTGGTAGCGGCGGCGGCGGCGGCGACGACGGTGCGCGGAAAATTGAAAAACGAGGCCGAATCAGCGCGCCGGATGGCCATCGAAAATTAGTTTTCGTATTCATTTGCTCGCCCGAGAAAGTATATTTCATCGGCACGCGTGATGAATCGTAACGCACCCACCCTTTCGAATAAACGTTTCAATCTGTCGCGGAGAGATCGGGGCCCCTCGAATTCTCGTTCAAGGGACAATAAAATATAGATACGCAGGGAAGAGGGAAGACGAGATGTCGGTAGAAATATTTTTTGTCGAACCAAATAACGGCACTGCCATGGATAAAGAATGATAGGCGAGAGCCTGTACAGTTAAAAATAAAATATTTTTATACATTCTGCACAGGAGTTGCAGTTTTTTGCGAAATCAGGACAAAGTGCATCGAACTCCAGTTTTATCCTATTTCTGTGTATTGCACTCTGGTCTTTTAACGTATCCATTTTTATTTCTTTTTTTTTTTGTTGTCGCGCATCCTCGTCGCGTTCGAGCAAATCATGCTTAAGCTTTTACGTAAATTCCCCCTCACGTTCATATACACTGTAATCACCTCGCGGCGGAATAACTTTAATACATGGCAAACGCGTTTAATAATATATAGGCGACCGTTGCCTTTCCTTTTAGAATAAACGCCGCAATCTGTCACGATGTTCTCCCTTCTTCTCTCCCCCCTTTAAACTCCGGCTGAAAAGGAAAAAAAAAATGGAAATACGTATGCCGTTCGAGACGGGGTAGTAAAAAAAAAAAAGGTGGGTCGGGTGGAGCATTGCGAGAGAGGGGTCGCGGAGGGAAATGAAGAGCGAGAGAGGCTCCCCCGGGCGAAACTCGACAATGCGAGCGGATGATCCTACCCAGTGGCGGTACGCGAATGGCGAGTGGATGAAGCGGTATAGAGGAGCGAGGAGGGGACGGACAAAACGCGGGAACAATGCTGGTCCGCGTATTATTTTCTGTTTGTCTCGTCGGAGACCGACCACCCCCGCTCGCGGGGGAACCACACGGCCTGTGTTTATCCACCCCTGATCTATCCCAGGTATTCCGCCAGCGCGCGCGCGGCGCGGCTATAACTTCCCGCGTCCTTACGCGACGCTCACTGACGGTGACAGCACCCTCCCATCCTCCCCTCCCCCCCCCCGCCCCTATCTTTGTATTCCGATTCCCTTCCGCACGATCTACGCCGTTTACGGACGTTTCGCTGTTTTACGTGAGAGCCATTTTCCCCGGTGACAAATAATTTACTTTCGCGATCGTCTCGAAGATATTCCGGGCGCGCGATCGGAAAGTTATGCCGCCGTTGCAGTCACGCGACGCAAACGGCAGGGGGGAGGGGAGGGGGAGGGGGAGGGGCGGCGGGGGATAATCGATTGCAGCCGAAGAATCGCTATCGGCGCGCATCCGAGGGGATCATGAATTTATGCGTTACTATGGTAGCGCGGCTAATGGATTTACTTATCCGTTTATTACCAGAGCTCGTCGGAGTTAAATTTGGTTATCGGGTACTTACCCGGCAACTGAACGCAAAGAGAATCAATGACCCAGTTCGCCCCGGCGCGTTAAATTATTTTTCGTTATCGAACCGTCGCGCGCTCTTCGCTTCGACGTTGACGCTATTATTTCGCGTTAATCACGACTAATGAAGAGCGTCGCGCGATTAAACGTCCGTTTATCGAGCTCGTTTTCTGCTAGAGGACTTGCT